CTACTCGAGCGTTATAATACCGAGCTACTCACTGATGGTATGCTACAGTCCGAATATAGGCCAAGTCATGGAGTTCTACCAGGTCGAGGTTAGTCCGCAGCTCATCCTCGTTTGCCTCCTCATTGTACATCTCAGACTGCAAGATCGGCACCTCGATCTCGGTTGGAATGACAACCTCTATCTCGTACGATAGGTTGAAAGGAGTCTCCCCGGTTGCCCTCTTGCTAGTAGTTCAATAGGCCCATAAGACACTGAGCAGCTCGTCCACCCACAAACCTTTAGCTCGAGAGAAAAGAGCTTTGAATCCACGGAGTATTGCCCTATTTGTTACTTCAGCCTGACCGTTTGCATGGGGATGGACCACCGAGGTGAAGTTTTGTTGGATTCCCATCTTGGCACACCAATTCTGGAACTTGATGTCTTCGAACTTCTTCCCGTTGTCCGAAATCAATACTTTGTTGAGTTCGAATCTGCAGACGATACTCTTCCAAAAGAAATTCTGCACATTCCAAGCTATGATGGATACCAACGGCTCGGCTTCCACCCACTTCGTAAAGTAGTCAACTGCGATGACCGAGAAACTCCTCTGCCCAGTCGTAGGTGGAAAAGGACCGAGGATATCTATCCCCCACCGTGCAAATGGCCACAGGCTGGTAAGGTACCTCAGATCGGCAACGGGCTAGTGTGGTATGTTAGCATGCCATTGGCACTTGTCACACTTCATTGTGGGCCAATAATAGCCTTGTCGTAGCGCTTTCTGGGTGAGCACCCTGCCCCCTAGGTGTCCTCTGTAGAGACCTTCACAGATCTCGCATAGCACTTGGCTTGCTTCAGTCAGGCACAAGCAGCGTAGATAGGGGGCATGAACAACTAGTAGTATAGTTGCTCACCTATGATTACATAGCGAGTTGACTACCACTCCACCCTCCGAATTGCATTACGCTCTGCAGGTAGGGTCCCGTGGCGCATATAGTCAACAAGCGGATCCATCCAGCTCAGCTCTGCAACCAAAATGGGAGCGACCTCTTCTACCACCCTTTTTGTGCTAGGGTGTGGCAAGTCTTCAATGTAGATTGTTCTCTTCGTAGTGTCCGTCGCACCGACCAACTTCGAGAGCGCATCAGCCTCAATGTTCTCAGACCTCAACACTTGTTAAATGTACCAAGAGTGGAAGTTGGGCAAGAACTCTCTGACCTTAGCCAGGTAAGCCAACATGGTGGGCTCCCAGGCCTCGTACTCCCCATTCACATGGCTCGCCACTAACTGCGAGTCACTGCACACCACGAGATGTTTTGCACTGACCTCCTTCGCCAGCAATAGCTCGGCTACCAACGCCTCATATTCAGCTTCATTGTTCGACACTCGGAACGCGAACCGAAGGGCGTACTCCAACTTCACCTCACTAGGCCCATAGAGGGTCAGCCCAACTCCGCTTCCACGTTGATTGGACGATTCGTCCACTTGGAGGATCCAAAGCTCCTCATCCCAAGTCGAGACGGGTGTCACACTGGTTAATGCCTCCGAGGTGGTCACGAGCTCGACAACTGCAGGGGTCGACATGCTGAACGTACACTCGGCGACGAAGTCAGCCAGGACCTGCGCCTTGATCACTGGTAGGTCACTCCCATTTCATCAACATAAGCTTTGATTTTATTTCCAATTAAATTAGCAAAAAATTTATTTACAAGGCGCTGGTAGGTCGCTCCAGCGTTCTTGCTAAGGTCTTTGTTGATCATTTCAGATTAATTTATTGTAGGCCATACAAAGAGGTGGGCTCTGGATGGACTAGAGTGGGAGTGCTTGGAAGAGTATCAAGTGGAATTACTGGAGAAACTGTTCGAGGAAAATGAAATTAAGGAAGCCATTTTCTCTGTGGATAGATCCAAGACTCTTGGACCTGATGGATTCATAGTGGCTTTTCATCATTGTTGGGAGACAATTAAGAATGAATTGATGAAAGTGTTTAGGGAATTCCACAGAAGGGGAGTAATCAGCCCAGAGATTAATTCAACCTTCTTAGCCTTGAACCCAAAGAAACAAAATGACACCTAGCCAGGACATTTTAGACCTATAAGCTTAGTGACTAGCATCTACAAGGTAATTGCCAAGGTGCTTTCTCTAAGGCTTAAAAAGGTGTTTCCCCCTCTCATTTCCCATTACCAAGGGGCCTTTGTCCAAGATATACAAATTATTAATCAAATCCAAATTGCAAGTGAATGTGAAGAGGCTCAAAAAAAGGCTAAAAAGGAAGGTTGTGGCAATTAAATTGGATCTGGAGAAAGTTTATGACCTTGTGGATTGGGACTTTTTGATAAACATTATGAGGAGGTGTGAATTTGGGGATTTGTGGTGTAAATGGATCAAAGATTGTCTACAAACTAATCATTTTTCTATTCTAGTTAATGGAACAGCAATTGCCTTTCAGATCCGAGGTTTAAGATAAGGAGATCCTCTCTCTCCCTTTCTCTTTACTTTGGTGGCTGAGGTCTTAAGTAAGTTAATTTCAAAGGCTAACTCCTTGCAATTGGTTAAAGATTGGACAATTGGGAGCGATAGAATTTTAGTCACACACTTGCAGTTTGCAAATGATATTCTTGTTCAGTCATGGAGAGGACCGAGAAGGTGTGGAAAACATGAAGATGGTTGTGAGTCTTTTTGAAAGGATCTCCAATTTGAGAATCAATTGGTCTAAGGGTCTAGTGGTTGGCATCAATTTGGAAGAGGTTGTTTTGAGTGCAATGGCTGATTTGTTGGGATGTGAAAAAGGAGAGTGGCCCTTGTGTTATTTGGGTTTGCCTCTTGGTGGAAATCCTAGATCGATGAGCTTTTGGAATCCAGTAGTGGAAAGGTTAGAAAAAAAGGTTGGCAAGTTGGAAAATGAATTATATCTCAATGGGTGGAAGAATTACTCTGATTAAATCTACCTTTGCTAATCTTCCAGTCTATTACATGTCGGTCTTTAGGATGCCCCAAGCTATGGTAAAAAAGAATTGAGAAAATCACGAGGGACTTTTTGTGGGAGCTTGGGAAAAGGAAGAAAGACCATTTGGTTAGGTGGGAAAAGGCTAGGCAGTTGAAAGGTGAAGGGGGTTTGAGGATTGGAAATGTAAAGATGAAGAATTTGGCTTTATTGAGTAAATGGTTGTGGAGGTTCCCTAAAGAAACTGAGAAACTATGGACTATAGTTATCTCAAGTATCTATGGGCTGTCAAGCAATGGTTGGGATGCAAGCTATTTGCGTAGAGCTACGTTGGCTGCTCTGTGGAAGGCCATTCATGATATTCTCCCCTTGTTTCTTCCCCACATAAGGTATGATTTGGCTTCAGGTCAGAAAATCAGATTCTGGGAGAACATTTGGGTTGGAGATTCCCCCTGCCTGTGGTTTTCCCTTCCTCTTTGCTCTTTCCAGCCTCAAGGAAAAACCTATCAGTGACTTCATCAGTTCATTCTCTTCATTTTCTAACCTGAATTGGAATTTGGGCATTACTAGAAATTTGAGAGGATCTGAAGTCTCTAATGTCTCTGCTTTGATTAACTTGCTAAGTTCAACGGTTTTGGGGGACAGTTGGTTCAGACTCTAGAGTTTGAGCTCTCAACCAGTCAAGGTCATTCTCTTGCAAATCATTTCTGAATTCCCTTGCTACTACCTCCTCCTCTCCTTTTTTCCCTGTCAAGGAGATCTGGTGTTAGCCCATCCCTCCTAAAGTCAGTGCCTTCTGTTGGAAAGTGTTCCATGGCTCCATTAACACTTGTGATTTGCTTCAGAAAAAAGACCAAATTGATGCTTGTCCCCAAACTGGTGTTCCTTATGTAAGCTACACAATGAGACTGCCTTTCATCTTTTAATTTCCTATCCTTCCGCTAACTACATTTGGGAGTGGTTTTCCACTCTATTTGGTTGCAGTTGGACTCCTCCTGTTAATCTGGACAGATTCTTTAGTTCCCATACTTTCAGGTGCTCTAAAAGAAGAGGTAGAATTATGGGAAGGTGCACTAGAGCAGCAGTGGTTTGCACAATTTGGGAAGAAAGAAATTTAAGGATTTTTTTATGACAAGGAAAGAAGCAAAGAAACTTTGATCGAAGTGATATCTCTAAGAGTGGCACATTGGGTGAAAACATTAAAGTTGTTTGCTGACTTTAAGACAAAAGACTCTTCAGATCTTCGGGAACAATTGCTAACACTGCTTCTAGAAAATCTAGAACAAATTATGTCGGGTCCCCTCCAGTGGCTGGATAGAGGAAATTAAACTTTGATGGTAGCTGTATGGGAAATCCTGGACCATTGGGTATTGGTGGGGTGATAAGGGAAGAGAATGGGAACATTTTAGCCATATGCTTGGGTCCTATTCAGCATGGTGGTGTGGTGAGATCAGAACTGATGGCAGCAGTGTGTGGTGTTGAAAAAGCCAAAGAAATGGGGATTAACAGGCTGATTATTGAAGGGGACTCAAAAGATTGTTGTAAACTGGCTGAAAAGGGGGGAAGGAATAATATGGAAGCTAAGAAATGAACTCAGGCGCTTCAAGCAGATATCTAAAGACATGTTGATCCAAGTTATATGAGCTAGGAGATCAGCTAACAGTAATGGCTGATGGGCAAGCTAAACAAGGGATTCAACGACAATCTATATTCAGGGCTGGTTTGTAATTAGTGGTTTTCTTCTCTTGGGCTTATCCTTCTGCCCACAACTTCTTGATGTATATGCTTTTTCAATCTAATCAATAAATAAATTCTGTGTTGCTGATCAAAAAAATAACCAAATAAACAGGAAAATCAGTACACCACTTAAAGCAGCATTAGAAGGTCCAAAAGATAAATCACATACCTCTGCTTTTCTGAACCATCAGTTTTATAGGCATGATCGCTGAGAACTACCATTTCTTCTGTGGTTCCTTCAGAGTCCCCTTAAGTATTGGAATCAAATAAACCATAAAGATAAAATATTCAACAACCAATAAATAGAAAACCAAATATGACTGAACTAAAGATAATACCTTTTGTGTGCAGCTTTGAAGCGTGTTCCTTTTTGACCATCCTGGAGGAGAAATTCTCATCGCCATCCTTTTTCTTGACATCATTCATATGAACTACCAAGACAGGGAAAAACAACTTAGCCCATTTTTCCTCTTTTTTTCGAAAAATAACAGACAAACCACTATCTCTGTTACATGGACTGAGATTGGGCAAATCCCTCAAACTTCAAGGATGTGGTGGCAAAAGGTGAATCACAGGTGGTAGCAGGGTGGTTAAAATACAACAGCATGGGCTCATGGAAATTGAAAACATCATTTTGCTGGATTGAAAGATCAGTTAATCATTTTGCAAATACTTTGGTCAGACAAGGAAATAATTGAAATAAACTGTTTTGAGGGTGTAATGCAGGGCACGCAAATAGCAGCCAATTGGGTGGATGAAATGGGCCTAAGCAAGCTGGAAACAAACTACAAAGTACAAACCCATCAGTTTGTTAGTTTGAGACTTAGCTTTGGTTTGACCAACAAAATAGCTTGGACATAACTTAAAATACATTAATTAATCAATACAAGTATAAATAGAATTTTTTGATAAGTGGCTGATGATTGTACCATTAGGCAAAGACTAGAGGAATTCAGCAATAACTCTAGCAAAAAAATAAAAGGGAATGTGGAAAACAACAGAAGATGTTAGGGAGAGAATGATGGCGACTGTTCAAGTTGATGTTAGGGAAGTTGAGAGTTTGGACAAGAGGATGAAGGTGTTGCAGGCCAGCTTGATTGGTAGATTCATGGGAGTCAATTCCGATGCCAAGAAAGTCGAGGCTTGGGCAATGTTTGAATGGGGAAATGAGAAGGTAATGGGGGTAAAAACCTAATGGAGGTTTGTTCTTGTTTATGTTCTTCAATACGAGGGAGGCTGATTGGGTGCCAAAGATGGAAGGTGGCATGTTCTGTGGATTGGGGTGGTAGGCATTCCACTGCATGCTTGGAGTCTAACTACATTCAAAGCAACTGGGGAAGAATGTGGCAGATTCCTTATGGTTGATGAATGAACAAAAAGTGGGAGAAGTTAGATCTGGCAAAAATGTTAGTGGAGGTGGATGACGTATTAGGTGTTCCGTGTTCCGAATCAACTGAAACTTCAATTTTCTAGGGAGGTTTATAACTTAAGAATTTTTGTTGAAGGAGAGGACTCAACTTTTCTAAGGGCAGATCTGGTAGGCAATAGTGAGAAGGGTGTTTTGGAGGTTGTGGGGGGAGAAACCAGTAAGGCTTTCCAGGAAGATGGACCAAAGGCAGGAAGGGAGAGGAAGAGGTGGCTTGAGGTGGAAGATGATGATGTGTTAGGGTCGAAGGGTAAAATCGATATTGTGGATGAGAGAAATAAAGGGGAGTTGGAAGGGGCAAGGGGCAAGGACCAGATTGCGGTCTTCAGTGGAAGGACACATGGAAGAGGGAGGTGAAGAGAGATTGGGCTTAGGTGGATTTGAAAGGAAATGTTGGGGAATGGAGAGAACTAAACAGTAACCGACAGGCTCAAGAAGAATTGAAAGGCCAAAGGGGTTTCACTCCCCAATGGTGAAGCTCAATCAACTTAAGAAAGGTGATCGGTCCAGCTGTTTAAGGGTTTCAAAAGTAAAAGCTTTCAAATGTAAAAGTGTCCTAAAAGGTTTAGGAGTTCTCGTGGAAAGAGGAATTGAAATACTAAAGGGAGAGCGAGAAGTGGGTTTTGGTGATTGCCACTTATGACAGATCTAGGATGAAGAAGCTAGTGTCAAAGAGATTGAGTGTTTTGGAGGACAACATGCTTGTTTGCAGAAGTGAAAGCTATGAGGTTGAAGTTTGAATCATGTGAGTATTGTTGATGTTTAGGAGGCGGTTAGGACTGATCGTGATAAACAAGTAAGTAATGTTTTATGGTTTGGTTCTATTTTGGTTGAAATACAATATGCTTTGTGCCAAAAGAGTAGTTACAAAGATGGTGTTCCAGTTGGTGGAGGATTACGGGGAGTAGGAGAGAAGGAGGATGCATGCTCAGGATACAAGGGAGAGTGGTAGATGCAAGGGGTGAAGTGAATGGTAACAAGGCTTTGGCAGGAAGAAGTGTTGCAAATAGGGGTGACGAAAGAGAGTTGGAAGTTAGTCATACTCTATGGAGATTGATAGAGAAGGTGTGGCATCAGAGATGGCTTCTGCAGTTGAAAACATTGAGAAGTTTTGTTCTGAGGTGATAATTGGAAAGTTAGGAGTTGATTTAGGCCAGAGGAGGGATATAAGCGACAATATAGAAGTAACTAAGCTGAGGTGATGGAGGTGCAAAAAACAATCTCATTATACAAGCAAACCCCATATTATGCATGTTACGAAAGTCTTTTCCCATTTAAAAGGAGGCCTAATTGGGGCAAGTCCTACTAACAAATACAAAAGGTGGTACAAGAGAAAAGGAGTTAAAATCAAATCTTCTTGTCATACTGTTTCGGTTGGAGCAATTAAGACTGAGTCAACTCTAAGAATGGACAATCAATTGGTGGTTAATCCCATTGAGAAGCTTGAGGCTAAAGTTTAGAATTGAGGAAGATGAAAAGGAGGTTGGAGGAGATGTTGAAAAGAGGAGTGGTGAGAACCCATCGGAGAAGAAAGAACAGAAGACTGGTAGTGTGGAAATTGAGAAATGGGCTGAGAGGGATATTGAGGTAGGCAGATCTTTAGGCCTATGGTTCCTGGGTGGAGAGGTGTTTGCTCGTAGAGCATTTGCTAAACTCGAGAGGAGGTGCAAGGAGAAGGGAATGAAGAAGACTGTAGGTGGGAAAGGTGGAGAGGTTTGGGATGAAGAAGTTTAAGGGAGGGAGGATAAGTTTGTTGAGGAAGAATAACAGTAGCGTATCTGATTAATGGGGTTCTTCCAAGTCTGTCTTTTAAAAGTGTGGTCATCAGTAGTTTGGAGAGAGTTTTCTCAGAAGGTCCTGATTAGAGCAATTATTGTTTTTTTTGTTTGGTGTAATGGAGTTCTTGGCTTCTTGTCTCCTTTCTTTTTTTCTTTTTTTTCGATCAATAACTTTGAAAGAATTTCATTAATTAAAATACTTTAGGATACAACAAGAAGTTGCAAAAGAAATCAGCTTAGTAAGCTCATCCAGGACAGATTTACAAATGTGCCAAAAACATATGTGTTCTTTGAACCACTTGCTTTTCTAATCTATCTGCCAAACTGTTGACAGATCTCCTAACCCATCCCTACCTGGATTGACATGTTCCTTGACATCCATTTAAATCTCCGGAAATCATTCCTCAACTGCCATGTCATCCCTTCCCCTTTCAGCAACCATTTTATCACTACTTTTGAGTCTCCCTCGATGATCAGTCTACTAATACTCAACTCTTTAGCCTTCTCAACCCCATATGCTGCAGCTAGAAACTCTGCCCTTGCCACATCACCCTCCTCGACAGGACCGGAGTACAGAGCAATAATGAATCCATTTTCATCTCTGATGGCCCCCCAATGCCTGAAGGGCCTGGGTTACCCACACAACTCCCATCAAAGTTCAGCTTCTTCCAACCATCTGTTGGAGGGGACCAAGCCTCAAAAAACTGTTGTCTCATAGATGATGTTGCAGCGATAAGTCCCCAAACCCTGAAAAAGTCTTCTTCCTTAAAAGCTGAAAACAGCTTCAAGCTTTTTACCCAATGTGCCACCCTCAATGCTATTGTTTCAACTAAAGCTTCATTGCATTTTTCTTTACTTTCAAATATTCTATCATTTCATTCCTCCCAAACGGTCCAAAGTATTGCTGCTCTAGTACACTTCCAAAGAATCCTACCCCTCCTTGTCTTGCCACTGATACCATTAGGTGCGCAATCCGGTCACCCCTAGCTGGCACTCACGTGGCTTCCCAAGAGGTACCTGAAATGAGGAAGAAGAAGAATCCCCGGGGGGTTTGCCCGGCGGGAACGCTCCGACGATTAAGTCAGTATTCTGTGTAAGAAGCAAAGAGAGGATAAAGGCTAAGAGTGAGATGGCGCAAGAGATTTTCCGAGAGTCCTATTTTCTGAGAACAGGCTCCTTATAATAGAGTTCTGCTGCACCAGGCCCACTGGCCTCTGACAGGGCAAGTATAACCGCCACTGTCAGCCTGCCACAGCTGTTACAGACAGGGCTGAGGTGGCACGCGCGGGATCGCCACTGCAGGGTACGTACCTGTCAGGTACAAGACACCTTCTAGAGGCGGCACGCACGACACTATCTGACAAGGGACATGGCGGCTATCCCAGATCTGTCGGGTACGGTGGTCGAGCAGGAAGCCTTCCTGTGGTAGGCCGAACTACCCTTCTAAGAATTACATTCCGCCGGGCTGTCTCTTGAGTGACGAGCTGCC